CTCATTTAAACCATGCCGCACATGGGCCTGAGGGAGGGGATGTGAAATCAGGCAACAGTGGAAATCCCGCAGAAGCAGAGACGGTGAAAAGACAAAGCCACCCTCTGAATGTTGAACTTTTTTTTTTTTTTTCTTTCCTCTGAATAAAGGAAATTTATCTGCTCTCAACAGAGAGGGGAAGAAATTACATTGCCTGTGGTAATGCTGCCCTGAAGGAGGAACTAACCAGGTTTGCTGTGGTGTAACAGAGAGCAGAAAGCTGCTGAGGTGTGGAGGGATCGTGTGCTGCTCACGCTGGGTCTTGTGAAACAGCATTCAGCACAGAAACACGCCTGGCACCCAGCCTCCAACCCAGCCAAACGTGGCCTAACAAGGATGTCTTCAGCCTGACATCCCCTTGAAGATGTGCAGTACCCACTAATTCAGTAGCTGTCGACTTTATTTTAAGGAACAAAAAGGTAGATTGGGCTTGTGAAGCTCCGTGTACAGGGAGAAGAGGCTCTGAGGCAGTGAACCTAGCCATTTTCTACCACCCCTTCTCCCTGCTCCCCCCAGCTGCCAGTGGCTACCAAAGGGGGGAATTTACCAGGTCCTTATGCAGGCAGTTTGGCAACTGTGCTTACACCCAGGGCTCCTTGAAAGCTGGGCAGATCCTGCATGTGTGCAGCCAGCTTTTGGGAAGTGTTGGTCCTACCTGGATTTTCCAGACCTTCTGCTGCTGCTGGAAGATCTTCAGCAGGGAGACCCCACGGTTCCTTCCACCCCAATAACCAAGCCCTGGGGGATGCAGGCACATTTTACAAGGACTTTGTGGTGTGTGGTGGCTGGGGACTGGGCAGGCTGAATGGGACAGGTTGTCACTGCAAGGGGACCTGTGTGAAAGCAACAAAGGACGAATGAAGCCTGTGGTCTGGCTCGGGGTTTACGCCAGGCAAAGGGAGATCGCAATCTGGTACGCTCCGTAGTTTATCACTTCTGAAACAACACCTTATTCTATCAGTTCCTCTCTTTGTTATCAGAGCAAAACTCACACTTTCCTAGCTGAAAGTTCAGTCTAAACATAAATGTCACTGAAAACCCAGTGAGATCTTTGGTTTTCTAGTTTCATTCTCCTGAGCTGCGGGGAAGATTATGCAACAGGAACAGTGGGGTGAATCATCTTCTGGCATTGCAGTAAATTAGGAAATGTTTGCTGCGATGTCGTATGGGTTTCTACTGTCTATTTGTGGTCTTTTTTTTCTTTTTTTCTTTTTTTTTTTTTTTTTCCCCAGTGGATCTTAGTGTCTTCAAATTTCAAATTTCTGTCCTTGTCTGAGTTAGGAAAAGGCTTATCAGTAGCTGCTGTAATGCAGCTTTGGAGATGAGCTGCTGTAAGGAAATGATGCTAAAGCAATGCTGAATTTCCTTGCTCAGCATTTTTTTTTCTTTTTCTTTTTTCTTTTTTTCTTTCTTTTCTTTTTACTTTTTTTTCTTTTTTTTTTTTTTCTGTGAATATTTCTTGCAATTGTTTGATTCACTTGTGTTGTTTGTCCCCTGTAACCCTTAACAATAAACTAACCCATTAGGTATCACAGCACTTAGGGGAGTAAAGGAGATTGTCCTCAAATGTTTTCTTCTTGAAGCACAGAGCTTGGCAAGATCACAGAGAGACCTCTAGGAGAGTCTGAGTACATCAGCGGAAGGATGAACTGAATGTAACAAACTCATGAGTCAGGCTCACCTCTCCTTCCCTTCAGATTCTTCTGTTTTGTGGGTTAAAAAAAAAGTGCTGTTTTGAGGCATAAGAATTCACACTTTCAGTCTTCCCTTTCCACATGTAAGGATATAAATCATTTTTAGTAGGAAACTGAAAGGTTAAGAGAAATATCAATACTGTGAGATTCAATGTAAAACTGTGAAAACTGGAAATAGTCCAAGGGACATTACCAGACACTTGGTTAAGATGTGTGATGCCACAGATAGCCTCTGTGTAAAGATGTGAGCCTTAATTGCAACTTCATTTCTGCTTATTCCTTGTGCCACTCTATATTTTTAGATCAAAGGATTAGAAGTTAGAAAGTCCTACAAACATGTGAATATAGACCAGAAATAATACAAATGAACCCCCTTGTTGATAAAAAGTATGGTCCCGAGTTAGGGGACCAGTTCTGAACTACACTATCTGTTGTGCTTGATATAAACTTAAACTCAAGGCAAATAATAAGGGGCATGAGCTTATTAGCTTGTTCTGCATAGTACTTCATGTTCATTTTGTCCAAATAAGAAAATATGAACTTACTTTGCTGTGGAAATCAAATAAGGCATCAAAGCCCAATTTCCTAAAGAATATCTATCAGTTTGTTTGAAGCAGACATTTTTATGACTAGCTATGTTAACAAATCCAAACTAAGTATCCAATCTGTCAAGGAGAAAAATAAGTTTAGAACGAAAGTAAGTATTGCTCGTTAAACTTTAATGGCAAGGCATTTAAAAGAAGAAAGCCATCCATTATAATGTTGGTGGAATAGTGCCTTGTCAGATTCTCCGGAGAGGATTTTTGTCATGATGTTTAAAGATATTATATTAAAGGATGGTTGTTACTCAGTTTTCTAAACAGAAGAATTTCTAGAGGAAAAGTTTATGAGCAGCATATATCCTCTCGTGAAAATTTCCTTAACAGCACAGCAATTAAAAACTGCTGGGCACCGATGCTCCCTGTCCCAAAGCACATACGTGGGGAAGGGTTGTACTGATGCTCATGTCATGCCAGCTTTATGCCCGACTGTATGAGAGGCAACAGAACAGCCAGCACAAAGCTGGGCTAAAAAGCATGTATTAATATCCAGAGGAGAGCACAGAATAGCCTTGAATGGATTATTCCACCTTTGGGAACCTGCAGGATCAAGAACATCTGCGATTAGTATCTGCTGCTAGTAAGAGAGCCATTGCTTTGAGCGCTGGTAATGAATTTAGACTCGTGTTGATAAATCCAGACACTGCTCACCTGCTTATCACATCTGAATTTTGTGTCCTGCTTGATCTCTGGTTAATGTAAGCTCACGCTGCCAAAGCGCATCGCCAGCAGTCTGTTAAGCTGTAAGTAGGTCACTATGAGGCCTCTGAGGAAGACTCAGCCCTGCCTCTTCGTGGTGCCTGGGACTGCTTTCAGAAAGGGTCTCCTGAATAAGCCAGATAGAGGCTGCTTGAATGGAATTCTTCCCCCTTCGTATAGCTCCACTGACCGGATAGAAATTTTAGATAGATGCACTCTCATCCCTGACTTTATCTGCCTTTTGCAAGACAGAACTTGTTCTGCATTTCCTTTACTAACCCCTAGCTCAGTGCTCATATCACATGGCTCCCTGACTCAAATCAGTCTTGCACGTGCAAAAGAAGTGCTTTCCCTTTTAAAGCCAGTTTATTTTTAAATGATACACGTGAGTGATTGTCTTTATTTCTTTTTATAAAGTACTTCTATTCCCAGAAGAAAGGAAAAGAAAGAGCTAGAAAGGCTTGGTCGAGCTTTCTCTCTGTTAATCTCAGCACAGCCACCGCACAGCCTGGTGGTGCCCCTGCTGATGGATGCAGCCCTATCTCCAGCCATCTCTGCCTGGCAGCGCGAGAGTGTGCAAACTCTTTGAACCAAAGATTGCCACCTCTGCAATCTTTAATGATTTAATGCCTTTAATATCACTGTCTCGTCTCACTTTCTTTAGTTGCAAAACACTATGAGCTCACTGCACCCGTCTTGAGTAAAACACGGCTATTACAGCAGATGCTGCAGCTCTGCCTCGATGCTAAGCCTTGCTGAAATCTTTGCCAAACTTTCCTCACTTGGCTTGTTTTCATGCCAAAGGCCTTGCCATGGTCTACTTTGCCATGAGTTTATGTTTGCTCTTTTGATTTAATTTAAATCAACTGACAAATTTCAGCCACTTCTGAAGGGAGGGCAGACTGAAATAGGTTATTTTGCCTCTTTTACAGTAATTCCTTGGCCTTTCTTCTGCAGTGATCCTGGAAGATAAAGTGAGAGCAATAGACCTGGGAACAGCCACGTTAGAGGATGGGACAGGAGATACATGCAGAAGGAGAGTGGGGAGAGAGACTAGAAATGGAAAGGAGTAGGAGGTGTGGAAGGAACCAGAGAAGACACAGACCTGTTGATCTGTCTGTGACCCCACCAACCCATTTATTACGAATTATAGAGCCACGTCCTGGGTTTCCGCTCAGTTTCAATCAGCACACAGGCAAGACCCTGCCTGGGGGTTAGTTAGGACTGAAAGGTGATGGAGGCTGTGGCCTGATGGGCCCCTGCTCCATTTCTTGCAGAAGGTGGGAAGCATATTGCGAACTGAGGAGGAAATTAGAGAAAGAACCAGTTAATGCAGCTAAAAAATGACCTGGAAAAGTGCATGTACAATCCCTGCCTCTTCAACAGAACTGTTGGGCAGTTTTAGGGAAGACTCTTTACAATATTCCCAGATGGCCACTAAATTTACATCCTTTATTTGCCCATTTCCTGACTCCCAGCTGGATCTGAGGTCAGCCAGGCTTCGAGGGGCTGCAGCACTACAGGGAACTACAATCTCAGACACATCGTGTCCCAAACCAGAATTGGTGAGTGCTTTTGAACTTGATTTCTCTCAGCCTCACATGTCATCTATAAACCAAGAATAATACCACCCCCACATCTCACAGGGGAACGGTGAAAAATAAATTATTGCCATTAAAATAATGCTTGTCATCAGTGCCCTATGAGAGCTCGTAAGGAAATGAATAATTCTGTCTTCATAACAGGATTTGAATAGTGTGCAGTAAATAAGGCATGGGGCCACACGTTGCACAACCAGGAAGAACAAGAGGTTGAATAATGGTTCACTAAGCAAGTTTGTACATGGAAAGAGACAGGACTCCTACCAGGAAAATCTTGCAGTCATAGGGTAGAAGATAACATCGTAATACAAGGGCACGTTATGTTCAAATACACTCAGTGAGCATCCCTTCTTAGTGGCACTACCTACCTTGTGAGCACTTGATTTCATCACCATTTGAGTACTTAATTTTGATAAAATTAGTCTTCCTGTGAAAAAGAAGCACAATTCAAGTCAGAGATAAGGTGGGTACCTTGTGTGCAACAAAAAGGGTAGGGGTCACTTTGAGGTGGAAACGATTTCTTGCTTTTCAGTCTCTGCCCACCGCTGGTTCCCTGCCCACACCTCTCCGAACAATTGTCTAGAGAGTTTCCTGTTCTCAGAGCTACCACAAACTTGGGCAGAGGCTGCCATGTTTGTCTGCACTCGTGTCCCCATTCCTGGGACACCAGCAGGGAGCCCCACAGAGCTTTGGGGAAGGCAGATGGAACAGCTCTCCAGCGACCTGCTAAACACCACTCACTGAGCCCTTCCATCACAGCCCCCCAGCTGTGGCTCCAGCTTTGCAGCATGGTGCTGGGGTTTGCCTCTGGCCATGGTCGTGTATGCTGGGGACAGTGGGTTGGCTGCATCTGGCATGAGATGAGTAGCAGCTGTGCACGAATGGTGGGAATGTCAATCTGCACTCTGCATCACACTAGGATGGCCTTTTGGATGCGGCTTCTCAATCAGCAAAGCAGTGACACTGGCTGGAGGTCACTAGCAGCCCATTTTTCTTCTGCTAGAGATTGGAGCAGCTCTGTTCCCCCTCCATCCACAACAGCCCATGTCATGGGCATGGAAAATGGCAGAACTCCCACCCACTGCAGTGGGAGCAGTTTTGGAGCACTAGCTTTCTTTTCAGCTGGGTTGTATAGACATTTTTTTTAATATTTTTTCTTCTGTGAGGCTTCCCAAAAGAATCATAGAATCATTTAGAATGGAAAAGGCCTTCTGGATCAAGTCCAACCATCAATCTGACCTACCAAGTCCCATCACACTAAATGAGGTCCCCTAGTGCCACAACCACGTCCCTCTGCACCACGTTGACACTAAAAGAAAGCATCAGGGATGTACAGTGTTATGCATCTGTCCATGAGTAGACTGCTTATGGATGTGCAAAGAGTCTCCTGCAGTGTCCCACTGTAAGGTCCTGCTCTTTGTCTTTGAAGCATGGGGTGATGCTTCTTTTCGAGCACTGCTTGCTGCAGTTCTAAGCGCCTCCATCATTTCAAATGGATTTCAAAGTCACCTGCCAGACTTGGACTCCTGGTACTGCTCAGTTAAATAAAATAAAAGGATGAAAACTATTGTAAACCTCAACATCTATGTGTCACATGTCTGGCATAACAGGGGCTGTCTTTGCTTCCTGGGGAATGTGCTTTCCTGATCCTCTGTCTCTGAACATTTATGCAGCAACTCCCAGACACTTGGCTGTAAAGAGCTGAATGTAGAAATAAATGATTTACGAAACAAGTGACCTTCATCTGGGAGACCCACCAGCCTTGGGTCTATCTCGAGTTTCCCTTCTGTGGCTGCTGCAGTAATCTCCAGCTTACGAAGCTGAAGGCTGCGGGAACCAGGGAGACGAGCGATCCTTGTGCGTGGCCTCTGCACAGCTGCACACTTAGCTTTTCTCTCCCGGGTCAGTCTTCAAAAGAACTTTGTCAAGGCTGATAAACTTAAAATTAGCCTCAGCAGCTCCAAGAGCAGCGTGAGCATATCTCCCTGTCTCTCCTCTGTCTCGTGGCTGTGTCTTTATTCGGCCGGTGGTGGCTGGAAACCAGACTTCTTGCATATTTACGTGTTGTGTGGACAGACATGCGGGAGGAGAGTGAAATAAATGTCTCGGTTTGCGCTGTGCTCAAGTCCACGTTTCCACTGACTCCACCAGGTGTTGGGTTGGGCCCCAGATGCGAACCAGGGTGGTGGGAGACAGTCCTATTAGCACAGGAGCGCTGTTATACGTACAGTGCATGCCAGTAAATGAGAATTTCCTGTCCTCTGCAGCTCTCTGTGTGTCTCCTCTGCCGGCAAATCCCGCGGGGAAGGGAGTGTCTCCGATGCCGTGTTTGTTTAGTGCCTAGTACAATGAGGCTGTCTTCCAGTTGGGGCCACTTGATGCGACCACAATACAAATAATAATGATTCTAATAATAAAATGCAGACTTCAATGGGATGTGGGTCAAGCTGCTCAGAAGCGTTGGCCTTTCTTGCTGACTTGCTTCCTCCCACTTCCTCGCTTCCTCCTCCGGTAGAAGAGCACTTCTACATCATCAATTCCCAAAGGTGGTTGTCCTCACTGTTGTTTGGCTCTGCAGGAAGCACCATTGCTTAAGACACTTGGCCTTCATCTTATTTTTTCCACTGACGTGTCGCAGAATTTCTCTTTCCACACCCTTGACTCCCCGGGAACATCTGCCTGCTCGGATCCTCCTCCCGAGCACACCGTGCGTGGACGTGGCATCTGTGGCTAGCTCCAGCCCTGAAGGCAGGGGAGAAGAGGAGATGCCATGAACAGAACAAGCTGGTGGGGGCTCAGCAGGGCTTGCACCACCTCCTGCTGCACGGTGGGCTTCTCGGCAGCCCCGCCATGGGAGCAGTGGGTGAACAAGCAGCTTCTTCCCACAGCACTTTGTGGATGTGGTGGCAAACCAGTTTAACTTTGCGACCAGGGCTGGTTTCAATTTTGCTTTTCACAGAGCGCTTCATTGACAAAAAGGGCCCTCGGCTAAAACAGTCCTTTGTTTTGGTTGGAATTTTCCAAGTTTTCCGACAAAACTGCACACGAGGGTTTTGATTTTCTGTCACTTAATCGGCTCCTCTATTGGAAAAACAGAATCTGAGAGAATATATTGAGACCTAAATAAATGCGTCTTCCTGTGAAATCTCGGTAGGAAGACGCAATAATTAAGGAAAAAAAAATTGTGAAAATTTTGAACCAAACAGCCACTTCTTCAGAGAATATATATAGAGTTTTCCAACCAGCTTTACCAGTGACCTGTAATTAAAGAGGAGTCCAAGCCACAAAGTTCAGAACCAGACTTTCCCAGAATTTATGGGTGTCCCTGTCTGGGTTTGGTTCAGCCCAGTGTGAGCCATGCCAAATTCCGAGCCGAGACCCAGCTCCCACCTCATCCCGAGGAGATGGTTTGGGGGCACCTCTTCGTAGCAAGCACCAGCCCGGGGGCCGGTGGGCTGAGCATCCCACTCTGGCTCAGTGGAGCTGGCTCGCTTCCACCCTGCCCGAGCCCTGGGTACGGAAATTGGGACAGGCAGAGGTGTTTGTACAGCTCTTACACTGGGAGAGCTCCTGCTAGAACACGATTGCTGAATCACAATGGCAAATCACTATGGCAAATCACAATGCTTTGGAAATCAAAGCCAGTTGGGGGAATAAAAAAAAAAATTTGAAAGAAAAGACAAAATGTAAGGAGAGAAAGCAAAAAGAAGGGAATTGCACAGATTTTATTCAAGAAACAGAAGCAGTTGCTTGCAAGCCACAGGCTGCCAGAAACCTAAAGGGATTCCTCATTCTCCCCTGAATGGAAGTAGGAGAGGTAATTAGCACAGCCAGGCTGTGTCCAGGGGTCTGGAGAGGGGTCTCAGGTCTCCTTGCACTTGGTGCAGTGAAGAAACAACTCGTTGCACCCTCAAGCTATGTATTTCTCTGCTAGATGCTATGGGGCAGTTTTTCCAGCAAGCGCCACATCTTGGATGCTGACCTCCTTAGAAAATCTGGCCCCACCAGCTGGTGCCAAGTTCCTGAAACACTGGCCCTGGGCGATTTTGAAAGCATGGCCACACCTGTCCTCGTTTCGCTTCGCTATCGACTTCAGAAAATCTTTAGATTGGCGCGATTTCAGCATTGTTTTTAATTCCCTCTGCCAGGTGTTGTTTGTGGAAACATGCTGTCCTTGCCACAGCGCATTATGTCTTAGAACAACTTCATCTCATGTTTTGGACCCAAACCAATGTGCTATTCCTAAAGGCTAATAAAAATGCTTATTCTATTTTATTGTTGTGAATGTGCTGGGGTGGTTTGAAAGGGATCCCAGGGTCTGATGAAAGCAGGTTACCTGTCTTGCTCCTTGTTGAGACTGGCCAGGGCAGGCTGCCAGCAACAGCTGTTTCTTAATTGCACAGACACTTATCTTGTTCTGACACCACATGCAAACATTAATGTTTTTCTGCAAATATGAATTTGGAGATTGACTCTGTGGGCTTTCAAAAGCCAGAGGTATTCTTCAGGGCATCAGAAGAGGTGGATGGAAGGGCAAAGTCTCAGGGACACATCTGACAACATCACCCACATCCGAAAGACCTCAAAATATTGGGAAGAAGATTGGCCAACACGGTGTGGTGACCCTGGGCTCAGAACCCTGGGGACATAACATTTTTTCAGTGCACGGTGCACACATGCTTGTCACAAGCATGCAGTCAAATCACGGGTAGAAAAAACACTGCACAGCTGCGCTGGAGCTGCCCTGTCCATCGGTATGGCCGTGCTGCCTGTGCACGGTGAATGTTGGTGATTCACTGCTTTTAGAGTAGTTTTGCAAGATCTGGAGCTTTTCAGATCTGCAGGGCCTAGAGGTTCTGCTAAGAGGGTGCCAGCACCAGCAGATGGCTGCCTGCCTGCAGTCCTAGCTAAGAAGCCATTTGTCCGTGGTTTAAATCTTATTCTATACCAATACATCTCTGTTTTGCTCCTCCATCTAACAACTCAATCCTCTAAAAATGCTCTACACCAGCTGATCATGGACTTTGGTAGACTCTTCCTTTTCTCACACCAGCTCAAGAAAGAGCAGAATCACACCACATGCCTTTAAGACACAGGAGCTAACCTAGTATGAAAATCGAATGCTGGTGGGAGCTTTAAACAGAGCAGCACTGACCCAGCTTCCTCCCTGACGTGGCCATCCCGGGTGACTTCGGGGCTTCTTCCTGGACCTTCTGGGCTCACACAGCCCATCAGGATCTCCTCACAGTCACACCAGCGTACATCTCTGGTTATTTGAGTGATGGTGATGTCCATGGCAAGGCAGCTTCAGTTTCTGCAAGTTCCGCAGAAGTGACCTGCCGCCCACATGCTCCAACACGGATCTCTAATTTTCCACCCGAGGAAGCTCGGCTGTGTGTTTGGGCGGGAGCATTTCTCAAGGTTCCCAGTGCCGCGTGGCTTTTGGCAGAGGGATTTATTTTTGGTGCTGATCCCTAAAGCCAAAACCCCGCTCCTCCCTGTGCTCCGACCGCCGGTGCTGGGAGGCTGCTGTAAACAGCATCAGAGGAGGCAGCAGATAGGGAGGGCGAGCTGGGAGCGCAGGGATGGGCATGATACATCTCCCTTGGTGTTACTATGATTTGTAATTAAGGTTTCCCTGGTGAAGGCATGAGATCACCGGGGAAAGGGAACCTTGAAATATCTCCGTCTCTTGTTCAAGGCGTGACATTTAAGATTGCCCCCACTAAAGGAGAGCCCTTGAACAGAAAAGAGCAGCTGGAAGAGTCAGCGTTGGTCATCAGCTGTCTGTCTTCCTCTCTCATCCTCAGTCCCATGAGAAATCCTATGGAATTTAACAGGCTTAAATAATAGCTTCCTGAAAGATTAAATTGAGTCATTGTTCTAAGAAAAAAACCACTACAATATATGACAGTGATCTTTCTAAAGCTTCCCTTCAAAAATCTGCAGTGGGTTAATCCTTCTGCATTACATTAAACGGCTGATTCAAGTGATTCATAAACGAGGGCCGGGTCTGCTCTGGAAGCTTTCCCTCGCACAGTTTTGCTGCTCAGGACCACGGGTTTTCACCTCCTTTAGGAGCCAGCCGAGGCCCTTCACGTACCCCTGCCACCAGGCCAAGGAAGGCTTTTGCTGCTGTAACCTTGTGATGCCTTCATGTAGGGAAAGCATTTCTTTCACCAGTACAAACCCTTCTTGTGATGAGACACGTTGTGGTGTTAGGGACACGTGGTGGTGTTAGGGACACACACGTCTTGGTGCTGTTCACTGGACACCACTGCTCGTGAGGCCCAGACTCTGCGGGGCTGAGGCCTAGCTGGAGACCAGCCATAAAACACCAGGGGCAGGAGAAGAAGCTACTGACCTGTGCTGCAGCTCCCTTGTGAACAGATGTCTCTGCAGCTCAGACATAAAAAAAAGGGCGAAGAGCTGTTAAACCCACTCCTTCTCCATCCCCTGACACGTGGCACATAGCACTGATGGGCCTGAATCCCATCTTCTCTGGGGGTAGTTCCCTCCTTCTGTTTTCTGAGTTTCGCTGCCATCTTTTACTTTCTCTTTCTTTCTTTGAAATGGACGAACCTCTCACATCCCACGTGCACACTGCACTTACAGCAATCACAACTTCCCGATTTTTCTTAAAATTAAGAGTGAAATGCTGCAGTGGGAGCAGAAGAGGGATGATCAGGCAGTAGCAGCCCAAACAGTACAGAAGGGAAAGCAGCCTGGAAAGGGAACAAGCACCCACAGCAACTCATCTGCTGGTGGCATTTTATTTTTTTTATTTTTCCTAGACCCAGTGCTGGGCACTGGTAGGACTGGCATGTAAAGCTCAGGTGGGTTCAGCCTGTGATGGAAATCCACCTGGGCACGGGCACAGGGCAGTGCCAGTGGGGTGCTGCCGTCATGCTTACCTCTTGCAGCATGTTGTGTGTCCTCAGGAGCATCCCCTCCGCCAAGGGTTGTGTCAGAAAGCCCCTCGCTGTGCTTCAAAGCCCTCACTCAAGTCCAGGAGCTGTCATCAGAGCATCCTGGGCGATGCCAGCAAAGCCTCCCTTTACCTGGCTGCTTGATGTGCTTAATAGGAAGATTATTGTTTTGTCTGTCAAATACTGGGGCTCCAATGAGGAATATTTTCCGTCTGCAGGGGAAAAAAGTCTCTGTGAGTTCCAGGCAGACAGCAGAGAGGGATCCAAGGGGCTGGGTTTCCATGCACGCAGCCATCCCTCCTCGGTGCCCTGGGAGGGAGAGGAATAACCCCAGGTGCTGGAGCTGGTGGCATGGGCAGGGCATGGAGAGGATGCAAAACAGCCCCACTGTTGTGCCCACCCATTCCCACACAGCACACTTCTGTTGTCTCTGCTGGAGCAGTAAATCTGCTCATCTCCCTCCTGCATTCCCAGCATTGCACAGGCATGGGCTACATGGCTTACTGGAACGGGCTTGCCCAAAAGTTTTTCATTAATGTTTTACCATGAAAAAATATACACGCCAAGCCACACGAGCATGTGGTTTCAATCCCTTAAAACACTGATTCATAAAGTGTTTAGCAAACATTCTCTCCTGCATCTGCAAACAATAGCTACTCCCAGACTTTCACTGGCCCGCGATCACTGCTGCTAAAAGCATTAGCCCCTCCGAAATGAAAAAGGTGAAGCTGCTTTCTGAGTGACAGCCACCACTCCAAACGGCTCTGGCACTTAACCTGCTGTCCTGATATCCTCAGGAAGAGGGACGGCCACGATTTGCTCGTTTGACAGCACCTAGAGCAGCACACCGCGGGGCAGCAGAAGCTCCGAGGGCTGGGAGAACGGCTTTGGTCCTTCTGAGCACCTTTACAATGAAACAGAGGAAAACAGAACTTGAGAAAACACACACACAAACCCCAAAGTTGAAGCACCCAGTGTACGCAAAGCATAAGGCTCAAATAAAGCCACGAGCTCTGGTGCAGGAAGACCTCGAGCTCCCCACTTTGGAGGGCAGGAGGCCACCCCGGGATAGCACTGCTCCCTGTTTGCTTCACCATTCCTTGCCTGGGGAGACCTCTGCCAGGGTCAGGCACTCGCCTCCACCTTTTGGGGTGAGCGAGGGCTGCCAGCACCCCTGAACCACTCTGCCTTTCATCCTTGGCACCCCTGAGCTGCTCTCCCTTTTTGTCCTTGGCGGCGGAGGTGAGTCACCGGCGGTGGCTCAGCACCAGGTGAAATACCAGCTCCCAGCTGAACCGCTCCTGACGGCTGTTAAAATAACCTGAGATGAACAGAGCCCTGAAAAATAACAACAGAGCCTGGCCCGGGGCTGGGTCCCTGAAATAAGGCTGCTCAGGTCCTGCTGCTGCTGGCACAGGGATGGATGGAAGAGGAGCACCCGGCCACCGAGATGCTGCTGCAGTTTCCCACACCGAAGCAGGTTTTCCTCGCTGCCCCGAGGAGGCAGAATTAGTCACAGGTGGTTCTTTTCAAAAATACATATGGGCTGACTGGGAGCATATGGTCTGATGGCATATTAATAACAGAGAGCCGAGGTTCCCTGTTACTCACCCGGCGGTGAAGCAGATTGAGGGACAGGCACCTTTCAGAGGGAATGCCTAACGCGGCAGCAGGCATGAATCACCCCTAACCAGGTCACCCTGTTCCTGCAGCCTCCTCTAAGAAAATTAGCCATTTATGGCTATGCGGAAACAGGGTTTTTCCCCGTGTTTAGATGCTGGGTATGAAGCCACAGACTTTCTCCAGGATTCCCCAAGTATGAAAGCACATTCCTGTGGGATACTGGTAATGAATCCCATTTTATGTCCAGAGAAGGAGTTTTGGGCATGGTTTTCTGTCCCTAACGCTGATGCTTATGATGGGCTCAGCCCCACAGACCCCGCTCAGCCACATTTCCTATGGGGTTTGTAGCCTGGTGGGGGCTGCAGCCTTGGCTGGGAGAGCTCTGCCTCACTCACTGCTTTCAGACGGGGATTTGGGATTAAATCCTGCTCTGCTGCCCCTGCCCTGTTGTGCACTGGTGAAAGAGCAGCCTGTGGTCCTGAACAGCAGCCTGCAGCCCCACATGCAGTGCTCACCTCACCCTGGCTCTGGTGAGCAGGGTTTTCTGCCTCGGAGGTGATCTTTGTCTCCTCCAGCCCTGGGGAAAGCTCCAGCTCTGCAGCCAGGAGCAGTGCTGCTTCATCCAGACAAAGCAGCTGCTGGATAGAGATGCCTCCACTAGCTCCAGCTTTGTGCACAGCAAATCCAGGGGGCCAAAACAGCTCTCCTGCAGGAGGATGGGGTCCCTCTGTGGGGACAGGTAAGGGATGAGACCCCACAGCTTTAAGCACCGAGCTACTTCTTGCAGCACATGTCCAGGGATGCACAAAAGCCAGTAAGATCTCCTTGCTTTCGGTGTTAGAAGTGCCCTAACATCGCGTCTGCCAAATTTATAAACTGGGTTTAGCCTCTTTGGATACAGAGATATGGCACTGCAGAGGATGCAGGAATCAATACTGACCTTATTTTGCCCTGCGTTAATACCCACCACTTGTTTCAGGTTGCAGCACAAGGCAGGAAGAAAGCACAAACAAGCTGTAAGCCAGCGTTTGAGCCCCAGGGACTCTCAAAACCAAACAAAACCAGAAAGAAAGGGGCCACAACTTGGAAACAGCGACAGAAATTGGGGGGCATGACCCCAGCTCCTGTGTTCTTCCAAGGTCTGAAGGCGGCACTGCCTGGCTATGCTGCAGCATTAGACCCCTAGCACCCACTTCAACATGACTTGCCTACATGGCTAATTGGATTTTCCTAAAATTAAAGCCAACTGAAAGTCAGGGCAGCTTGGAATTTGCCTAAAAAGGACCCCTCCACCCCCCCAGCATCCTCCTCTGCCTCGTCAGGTAGCTCAAGAGCTCTCAGGAAGGCGAAGCACGGCGATCCCGCTCTGTTTGATTCACACCGAGGAGAGCTGAGCCTGCTCAGGGTGAACATTCAGCTGGATGAAATAAATGTCCAATCTCTTGCAGCACACCGTAAAACAAAGGTGCACGGAAGATTGACTTTTATCGCGAATTTGCCACAGTTGAATTTTCCGGCTAAGGATGTTCCTTCTCTGCTGGGCCTTAAATTTGTCTGCGTGAAGGCGCTGCAGAAAGCCGAGGCAAATGAGTGAAGGTGTGAAATCAATGCACATAAATCCGAGGGCTGTAAGCCCCGAGGCTGAGACTTGCTGTGATCCATGCAAAGTGCAGTGAGAGCCCTCCGCGTGGCTACGGGCGAGCCTCCGGGCAGACCTCTCACCTCCTGCCCTCCTTCATTCATCTCTGCTTTTTATTAGTGGGACAGCAAACCTGGCTTTATGGGATGGAAAACCCAGATTTATGGGACAGCAAACCCAGCTTTGGGGCAGCAAACCCAGCTTTGGGGACAGCAAACCCAAAGCAGTGCAGGCAGGGGGCCGCTCGGTGCCCGGTCTCGCTGTAGGGCAGCCTTTCCCCAGGGTTTCCCCATCCCAAAACCTCATCCCAAAGGCAGAGGGAGCCGAGGGCCGAGCAGCACCCACTGGCTCGGTGTGGCCACGGCCCCAGAGAGTCCCCGAGCGGGGGAAGGCGAAAGCACCGCACCGAGCGCCGGGGCCGTGCTCGGTGTGCGGGCTCCCTCCGGTGGCAGCCTGCGGCTGAGCGAGAGGAGAACACGGGGACTGGTGAATATAGGGCATGGTACACACAGGGCACGGTGAATATAGGGCATGGTGCACACAGGGCACGGGGAATACAGGGTGTGGGGCACAGGGCATGGTGCTCAGGGCATGGTGCACATCAGGGCATGGTGCACAAAGAACATAGCGCACACAGGACATGGTGCACAAGGCATGGTGCACAGCACAAAGTGTGCAGCACACAGCACACGATACACACACACCCCTTCTGGGGATGTTCCTGACCCCAAACCCATGATGTCAAGCCTCCAGCCTGGCCTGTGCATGCTTCACCGCCTCGCAATTTGCCGTTTTCCCCATGCCATAGCCTCGGCGCAAGCCCCCTGCAAGACTCCTGCTCCCCAGCTTTCTCCCGGCTCAGGGTCGTGTTGCTGCTGCTCCAGCAGCACGGTGGGTGCCCCTCACCAGCCATGGGGCAGGACGGTGAGCAGCAGTGCCTGGTGGCTCGGTGCTGCTGCCCCACAGCAGGGTCTCACAGCTGGGTACCCGGGCACAGGGTGCTGGAGCACCCACAGCCTCACCTGCCCTGAAATCAAGAGGAGCTGAGATGCAGCTGCAGCACCCGAGAGCTCTCTGCCACCTCTCCTGCATTTTGGGAGGAGGCTGGGGGAGGACACAGGCTGTGCCTGGGGCCGGGAGAGGAGCCGGTGGCTGCTCCTTGCAGGTGCTCAGAGGGCACGTTAATAATCCTGGGTGGCAGCGCTCGCAGGAGCCGATCCGCCAAGCTAATAGATGTGTTTAGACACGGGGAGGTGTCCATATGCTTTGGTGATTGCATCGCTCTCCCTTATTGCACCACATATGCTGTGCTTTTTGCACCTAATAGGTTTCTAAATTGGCTCTTTCTATCTGAGTGGTCCCCTTAAGTGTTTCCATATCACATCTTTTATGACTAATAAGGCTCCCGTTCACTTAACCTGTGCTGCAATCAGCGTGGGACACGTGCCCATGCCAGCTCTGGCCATGCCCTGCTCCATCCTCCTCCCCGTTGTTCCTCTTGGTGGTGTTTGGGCACCGCCACCCCCAGGGGCGGGTGTCCCCTGGCCTGTCCTTAGGGACACCTCAGCAGCGCACCCCCCATTCAGCAGGGTCACAGAGGTTTGCACTTTCCTTGCAAGGCAAGAGCAGAGGAAGAAGCAAGGCGATTAGCTGCCCTTTTTGTCATTCTCCAGGCCTTTAAATATGCCCCCATTAGAGAGGAGGACAGCCTGGAGGGACCCCTCTTTGGGGGGGGGGTGGTTGTGCTTTGAGCTGAAGGGATGAAAGAGGCTGTTGGAAAATGACTAGCGACAAAGCAGCGATGGCAGCACCTTTCAGGGCTGGGACCTGCTGACCCCTGAGCTGCAGACTGGGGCTGAGCTAATTAAATCGAAAATAAACAGCCCTGAAGCGGCACTTGCATGGGGAAAGGCGGGGTGGGTGCTGGTGCTGGGCTGGCTGCAGGGAGGAGAACCCCCCTGCTGGCTTTGGGTGTGTGCCCACTTATTGAATTTGGCTTTAAAACACCATTTTGTGGAGTTCTGTAAGGAAAGAGCGGGCTGAGAAGCTAACAGAGGCAGCCAGGCTGGTTTCCTTCATTTGGGGCACGTGTGACCTGACTTTGCCAGGTCTCCCCAGCACCACGTTCAGTCCAGACAACACTCCCCATCCTCCACATCCCTCTTTGCATGTCCTTGGTTTGCATTTTCTCACCCACCAACAGGCCCAGAGCCACCTGATGCATACACATATGGGCTTTCTGCCCCTCCACGGCTCCCGCAGACCCTTGCAGCCACTTTAATCCATCCCTGGGTGCAGCAAACCCAGCACCGGGCCTGGCCCATGGCAAGCAGCATCCCAGCGCCCCGCCAGGTCCCTGCTGCAGCCAGGCGAGAGTCAAAGGCAGAGTTCATGCCCCAGCCGGGCACAAGGTGCCAGGAGCAAAACCGAGGGATGCTCCGAGGTCGGCGCGTTTGATCGGCGCTATTAAACTGACAGATCATTCGGGGAAGCTTTTCATCTCAGCCCGCACATCTGCTCCGCGTTTCGAGGCGGCGGGACGAGGCTGGTAGCGGAGAGCAGGTGCTGCCTGTGTCTGGTGAGCATTAGGGAACGTTCACTCGGAGGCTCGGGAGCTGCCAAAAAGTGTGCTGATTGGACAGATGTTACTTCATTACTGTCAACTCATCATCTTGGGTGTTTTAAGGGAACATTTGTTTGTAAAGGAAACACAGCTGTTACCGAGAAATTTGTTTTTCCTTGCTTTTTTTTTTTTTTCTTTTTGGCTGAAGGGCAGAGAAAAAGCCCAAGGTGCTCAGGCACCTGTAAGTCTCCTTTCTGGACCAGCCCTGCAGCCAAGGCAGGGACAGGTCTAGGAGACCTTGCTCAGTCACCTGCCAGCCCTTATGTCCATCTTATGTCTCTCTGGACATATTTTTTTGACCTGGTCTTCAAAATTTCCAGCAGTAAAAGCAGGCTGGCACCAAAGCAGGGTCACTGCTGGAGGCACACAGCAGAAACGAGCTTTCCATGGACTTCTGCGTGCTGTAACCTCCATCCCATTCAGGTTAAGGGCAGATCTTCCAGAAAGTGTCCCCAAAGCATCATTTCTTTCCGTGAAGTGGATGGTGCCGTCCAACAGCTGTTACCCAGGGTGGGAATCAGAACAGGATCTGGCCCACGGCCCTGCCACAAAATTCCTCCCCAGAGGGTGCGTGCAGGTGGTTTGTATCTGGATTACCCTCCTGCACACTTTCCAAGAAAAACAGGTCTGTAGGCTTCTCTGTGGTGTCCCAGCTAAGTTTCATCCAGAAATATCAGAAATATGCCAAATCTCTGCCTTTGAGCAGGAAGATTCCCGTCGCATCCTACAACAGCCCTACCTTGTGTCTGGGACCACCCTGCAAAAAGAGGAGCAGCCTCCAGGGAGCAGCTATGCTGCGCATTTCTGATCTCATAGTGGGTCTCAAGAGCAACCAGGTCTTCTCCATCCTCCAGCATCACCAGCATTTGGAGGCATCGCAGTGACCCAGCTGGCTGAGCCTGAAGTTGGCTCGAACCAGTTACTGCTGCTCCAACATCGCCTTCAGCCCCCTTCTGGCACTGACACAGATATCTGCGTGTGAGCAGAGCAGGCCTCATTCTGCACTCTGGAGACCAGAGGAAACCATCCCATCAAGATGCAAGAGCCTCCACGGAGGTGGAGAGCCCAAAACAATCATCTGGGTCCGAGCGGGGCGGGATGCTGGGGTGAGCTCTGCCATGGGCACCTTCCCTGCACCTCGGTTTCCCCACTGGGACTTTCAGACAGGGCCAATTCCAGCCCGGTTGGGAGGATGAATTAATCCCCCAAAGCCTTGAGATGTTTTGGTGGAAAGCAAGTAGCTGATAGTGCAGTTTTTGGAGGAGGAGCAGGCTGTGGGTAATGTACTGGTGCAGTGACAGCCCCTGAATCCATACTGTGCAAGATGGAGTGGGCAATGACTGTCTGCTGGAGGAGTGGGGGCACTTATTAGCAAAGTCCTGCTTTATTAGGTATTTAACCCAGAGCAAGGCTCATTTTGCTTCTCCCCTGGGCTATAAGCACCTGCCAATACCTGCTGCTGAGTGGGCTGGGAAGCGCGCAGCTAATCCAAGCATCCCTCTGTGAGAGCCTCTGGGCTGGGACTTTTGGAGCTGTGAAATCGCCTCGGCTTAGGCAGTGTCCGATCAATTCTGAGTTATCATCTCCCCATCTATTAGCACACTAAATAATTGCCCTGCACCTCTACATCTGTATCTCTCTGTCTTACAATGCCCCGCACGTACTAGTTTTCCCTTATTGATTTTTATCCTCGAGCTTTTCCGCTTTGATTGATTCCACGAGAAATGTGCAAATGAGGAGCCAAAGCATCTTTATGACTTGAGAGCCTACTGAAGGCATTCGCTGTTCTTAATAACCTCCCTCACACCACCGGGTGTGTGTTGAAAAGCCGATAACGCTGTGTTGGGAGGAGCAGATCGCTCGTCCAGAAGGATGAGATACCTTCCCCTTTTGTTTCATCCCCCTGGCTGTGGGCAGTGAAGGATGGCTCGGTTTTCTGCTTCTTTATGACCCGTTTCTGGTCGATTCCTCCCAGGTCCCCAGCTCAGGTGCTGCTCTGGGGGGTTACATGGTGTTTGGTCCCTGGTGCCCTGCCAAAATGCCAGGAGCAGGTCTGCTCCTCCTGCCGCATGCAGGTGGCTCCCTGCTGCCGTATGGGGTTGGGAGATGATGGCACAGGGCAGCATCACTGCTTTAAGCACAGCTGAAGCCAGTCCCTGGCATAAGATGCTCAAGGAAGAGAGAAAACATCTACAGAGGTTCTGCACAACACGGACAAATCCTGCAGCATCCACACAGAGAGTGGTTACGGATGGCTTTGGGAGGTTTCCAGCTATACGAACCTCCCTTTGTCATAAATTCACCTTTTAAAAGGCTTTAGAAACATCCTTTACTAAAAATTCACACTTAAATAGACACTGCAATAGAGATGGACACGTGAAACTACAGGAATTTTGAAGGAGGCAGAAGTCTATCAGTTAAATCCTTGGACTAAATCTCCTCAAAGCCAAGGCCCAACCACAGGAAGCAGTGTGGGAGCAGCCCCGGGCTTTGCACCGAGCCAAATCACATTTCAGACACACAGGTTGCGGTGTCAGAAACCCACCTCCTGCAGTGCCATGGGGAAAACCAGGAAAAACCCCAGCAGACCCAAACCACCTCCAGCAAGCCCAGCTGGAGAGCTCGCAACCCCCCCGGGACTGCTCAAGACTCACCCAGCTGTGCTTGGCGTTACGGCCAGTAAAACCATGCTGATATCAGGCCACTGCTGGTTTTTAGGAAGGAGTCCCCAGGAGTTCCCTGTTTAAAATAAAGGGGACATTATAACCTGTGGTTTCCTCCCCAGCCCCACAAGCTGGGAATCAGCAGCCTGACATCGCCGCCCGCCCACATCCCTTCTGGAATCGCAGGAAGGTGCTGGTGGTACCTTAACCGCCAGGATTTTCCTTGGCTTATTAATGTTAAATAAAAGTTGGAGGCTCTTTGCAGTTACAGCTGGAGCTGGAGACTTTTCAGAAAGAATCTGCTGAAAATGAGTTTTATATACTGACTGGCTGAATGGATAATTAAACAAATAACAAAAGTGAAATGCAATTTTGTTTTACCTCCTGGGAACATTATTGTTAGTTTATTCTTTTTATCAAAAGACTTAAGAAAGAAAAAAAAAACTATGCAATTTAACAATATTGCTTTTGTAAACAATTTGAAAATCCAATAACTGTAAAACTTATGACATGTTATTAAAATGTCTTTTTTTTTTTTTTTCCCCTACAAGTGAAAAAGCAATTCCAATCTCAGATGCTATAATTTAATTATACACTTTAGGTTCTAAAGATACCATAATTCTTAGCACTGAATACATTCCGTTTAACGTCCTTCTGGCACGTTTCAGAAGCTCAGACGTCGCTGAGCACGGGGGTCCCATTTCACGGGGATGCTGCTGGCTGGTGCCTCGCTGCTCCGGCCACCGCTCGCCCCGCATCCAGGGGCACAGCACAGCCCTGGTTAGCCACAGAGGGAATTTCTGATTTATTTTTAAGTAAAATATCTACCAGGCATGGTGCTGGAAGTGGCAGCTGGCAGCACCAGCAAAACCAATCAAGCGGTGGCTTGGTAAAGGGGAGCGAAGGTGGTGACCTGCCTGTGCCTGGCTCACAGGGAATTTGATAGGAATATGACAGCAAAGGGAAACAGGATGCTTGCTTTCCTCCCAGAGCATCCTGGTGCCTGACAAATCTGCTCCCAGCCCTGAGCCACAGCTCTGCAAGGTACAGCACCTGGGGCAGGCACTGGGAAGCGGCGCTCAGCGGCAGGGATGCGCTCACCAGGTGCCCCTGGGTCCCTGCAGGTGCTGTCATCGTCCTCAATCTGCCCGTGCCCGGGTCTGGCCCCCCACAATTTCAGCTTCAGGGTGGTCTCCTGCTGAGCACGAGCAGGGCCAGCCCCGGCAGCAAGAGGCCTTCCACCGCAAGAACTAATTTGAACCAAATTGAAATGCTAACAAATAAATAAAGGCAAGCTACAGTGAGCTAGTAATAAGATACCTTTGGATGTTCATCACGCTGGATTTCCAGGCAGTTAAATAGTTTAATGCATTTCCCTTTGGCTTGAATATCAATCTCTCAGGCTGTCTGGAAAGAGCGTCTGACGTCCTCCCCCGTTATACATTACTGGCGAAATGCCTCAGTGGCACCAGCGGCGCCTCTCCCACCAGGTAGGGGCCGTGATTCATCGCCAGCAGCCGCGTGTGGATAACTGATGGCAAGTGATTGTCAGCAGGCGATGATTATCTCTTCGGGTTGTCTGCAAAACAATTAATGGCAACGAGAAGAATTTATTTAATTAATCATTCCCTGTAAATAAATGCATCAGAATGGCATCAATCACCGCGTCGTTGCTAAAAATGGGTCTCCTAAAAAGGGCCGCCGCGCGTTCGCGTGCTGGAGCTGATGGTGTGGAAGAGACGCCAGGCAGGCTGAAATATTCAGTGGGTGCCAGTCTTCCTTCCTCCCAATTTTTGGAAACCGGGGAAGTTTCTCAGGGAATGGGCTCGCTTTAGCTGGGAGGTGCTCGGGAGTGAGTGGGACACGGGGGATGGAGCAGCTGAGCCATGCAGCAAGAGCTCCTCTCCTCGAGAGCGAGCCGTCAGTGCCTCGCTCCTGGGCAAAGCCCTGGTGGCGGCTGTTTCTCTGCTCAGCCTTTGCCCACGCAGCACTGCCTGCATCACCTAACTCACCCCATTTAGCTCCCAAACAAACCCCGTGTCACCCCGATGCTGTCCCCTTGGGATGCTGCGTGTCTGTGCTGGGAAGCTGTCGATGGGATGAGCCCCATTGGACCACAGCGGGGTTAGGGCTGTGCTTGCAGCCTACAGATGGGAAATAACAGCGTGTGCCCCTCTGCTGTGTGTGTGCCCCCCAAAACCAAGGCTCCTTGCTTTTTTGGGGGTCAGGAATATGCCTCAAGCACTGCTGAAACCATGAGCAAATTTAAACTTTTCTCTCTGGGAAGGCGCACGCTTTGTACCATTCCATCCAACACCTCGGGCTGGGTACAGGGTTCACCAGAAACCCCAAACAAGGCAAACCCGACAAGCCCTGGTGTAACAGTGAGCTTCCTCATGGGCATTTTACTCTTTGCCCACTGGAGCTCCAGCAGCAGAACCGATGATGTTTGGTGCAGCTGGAATAGGGCTGGGCTCGTCCCGCACCCAGGGCACCGGGGATGCTCCAGCCCCGCAGACATCCCGCACCTCGTGGGGCTGTGCCTGCCCTCAGCTGCTGCCAGAGGAAAAAAGAAGGGCAAACAGGAGGAGAAAACAGGTAGGTGCTACAAGTATTCATGAGGATAGATTCCCCTAGCACCTATAAATAATCCCAACCAGAAAAACACACAAGACGTGTCATAAACCGGGAGCGTTTTAAGAATGCTGAAAGTTTCCAAAATTAATTTTCTTCATTTTACTTTATTAAAATTGCTTTCATTTATCTCCCGTGTTAAATATTTTATTTTTCCATATTAATGGCTGCAATTTCTACTGCAGCTTGTTTCTGTCATTAACACTGTACAAACTTAATATCATTAGTAGTTTTTTCCCTTAATTATGTGAGTGGAGAAGAAAAACATCAAAGTTTCCGTGAAATTGGAATAGTATATCTAAATTGCCTCATGTTTATTTTAACATTAACAGTAAATGAAGCTAATGGGCTTTTATATTATTAAAAGCAGCCATTTGTGCCCTGCCTGCTGTAATATATAGCAAAGCTTTAAAAGATGTTAAATAATTAGTTATTTAATAGGGATGTGCAAAATAGATCAAACAAAAGGCAAACTTCCTGGTAGCAGAAGCTTTGGTTCAAACTGGGGCCCCTCTGTGATGCCTGGAAATTGGGTTTTTCCTCCACACGCCTCACGTCCCACTGTTAATCTGATTGCTTTAATTTACGGCGGGCCCCGAGGGCTCCCGGCGGAGTCTCATGCCCAGAAGCGAGATCAGTGCTGGCTCCGGGAGCATCCCCCTGTGGGGGGACCTCTCCTGCACCAAGGTCCTTCCCCAAAGGCTGCCCTGCTCCGGGCTGTCCCTGCCCAGCAGGAGCAGTGCCAGGGGGGGAAATCCCATGGAGAAAGAGCAGGACCCACTACGGTGCTCTGCTGCACCCATGCAAGCCGTGGTTTGCCAAGCATCTTGGTTTGGCAGAGGTGGCAGCAGCTTTGTGCTTCTCCTCCCCTGTTCCTAATTCCTCAGATCCTTTTGCAGATGGATCGGTTTTGGAGCTGAGACCTGCAGTGCTCCCGGCTGGAAGGACGGGGTTGGGGCTGCCCCATTTTGGGTCCAGCTCATGGGTTTAATCTTAATGAGCTTCTGTGTGCAATTAACATAACCTGGGCTCATCCAGCATCATCGGTGGTGACACTTTGGTAGTGACAATGTAGCAGGAACCGGTGGGAGCAGGCAGATATCCTTGCCAAGTTCAAAGCTGGGGAGCAAAACAAGGCAACAACTGCTGCTGCTTTGTGCTTATTGATGTCAAACTTCACACCAGCAGATACGTTCCCTCTCCCTGAGGAGATATGCTCTCCTCAGGCACATATTCATGCCAGCACGAGGGCAAACTCAAGAGAAAGCTGCCGACTTTTGGCCAAATCTCACCACTTTCTTTAAAGTGCGCGCACATGGGAGCACTGCTCTTTTTGTGACCTGTCGGTGTTATTAAAAAATGTGCACGGAGTTAATATTAATTACAAGCAGCTGCGGCTTAAAGAAAATCGATAACAAATGACAGATTTGCAGAAAGTCTTGGGGGAAGGCTGGCGGGGGGACAGGGGGACATGGGGAGGGATGCTCGTGGGAGCAGCACTGGGATGGCAGCAAGCATCAGCGCTCCCTGCAGAGGGGACAACGGGGACAAGGCTGTGCAGGACAGAGTGCGCAGCCCCAAGAGGCCACTTGTTGTTTGCTGCAGGTCCCACAGCAGATTTTTAGTTTTATTTTTTTCCCTGTGCACAGCAGCGTGCTCCCCCGGCACCAGCCTCTAGCGTAAATGTACGTCTTGGCCCGCAGAGCGATGCTATTTCCTGTGCCTCGGAGAAATGGAAACAAGTCAGGACACAGATCACTCCGCCTCGCTGCAACATGGGCTGCACATGTAGGGCTGGAAAAAATAAATAAACTGGCCCCGAGCTGCAAGCCACAGGAATTTGTCATCTGAGGAGTGCTGGAGAGGGGAGAAGTCACGGCGTGGCTGTCACCGCCGTCTGGAAGGACGGGCTCCCCCCTGCAGCGCGAGCGCACACCCACCCAAAACGTCCCGGCTGCTCTGCCTCTCCACGTGCAGCTTGAATAAAAGGGTACGGCAGAGAAATGTGCTGGGGAATGAGGGTGAGGAGCTCAGGAGAGTGGCTTTGCTTCAGCCTTGGTGTGGGCCAAGGAGAGTGGGAGGTGCCGGGGGAGAGGAGAGGAACTGCTCGGGGGATATGGGGTTCCTCAAAGACATCCAGGTCTTGCACCCTGGGATGAAGCCAGGCTCAGAGCTTGCAAGCCAGAGAAGTATCCGACTCAAAGCACCAGCTTTACACCCTCTTTGGAGTGCAGAGTTGTGGAAATGCCATGAAATCCCCCAGTGCCAGCCCAGGTCACCTTGCTGAGCTCCACACATCAACCCCAAAGACAACAGCAGCGCACGAGGCAGCCAGGAGAAAATGTGCCACTGATGGCCCAAAGACACACTGAGTTTCCATTCCTGCCTCAGGATGCAATTTGGGGACGTTTTAGTGCTTCCGGACACTTTTGTGCCCTTCAGCCCCACGGATGCCACATCCCCACCACCACTGGAGGCCATCCAATGCCTCCTCTGCTGGATGCTGTGAACGTGCAGCACCGCCGCGGCCCCGACGAGGGGAATAATTACAGGAAAGTGGCAGCTTTCCTTCTGCTTAACTTGCTTTGGAAGGAACAGTTGGGGGTACTACAGAAACTAATGTAAGGTAATGTAATCATTTACAGAAGATTTGTGGTAAATGAACGCTTGGCCGCTGTCCAAGCGCGCAGCCAGGGCTCATTACGGCGGAGGAGATGGCAGGGAGAGCTTTCAATGGCCACTGTTTGTCTTTCGTTTCATCTCATGTCTGACCCGCCTGACCTCGCCGAAGCCTGCGAAGACTTTTCTTTTCGCTGGCCGGCTTTCAGCAGTGGTAAATGTGATTTCTGAATGACACCGCTGTAAGCGCCGGGTGCGCGGGACCTCTCGCGTAGCAATGACCCGCAGCTCCTCCGAACGCCAGTCCTTTAGTGAAGAACAGATTTTTTTTTGGATTTTTTTTTTTTTTCCACATGAAAACAGCAGCGCTGGGCCCTGGGATAGGGTAACTTAGCAACTCCACCGCAGGGATTAGGAAAATTGACTCCAGACCAAACTAAAACAGCAGAGTTTCCTGTTTTGAGCCACTCTGTACTATATTAAAATTATTTATGAAACGGGTAGCAAGGACGGGAAGGATGGGGATTCAGGGCTGCTGTGGGGGGAGAGGAACATGCTGTCTTGTTTTTTTTATTTTTTATTTTCTATCACGCTACTGAGCTTGCAGTGCAGAGGGGCCAGGGTGTGAAGCCAGGGCTCAGCATCCACAGGCAGGACCTCTGCTTCGAGGAGATGACCTGAAACAAAGACATGGGTGCTGCAGACATGACCAAGGACAAGTGCTGTCCTGCATCTCCCTCCTGCCTTGTCTGAGTCCAAATTCCTACCCTGCCTGGTAGAGCAAAGAGATGCTCGCACCCCTCGGGTACCACCCGGGCAGGTGAGGCTGGGGGGCCCTGTGCCCACCGTGCTGCCCCTGCGCCATCGGGATGGGGCAGCTCCAAGCTTTTGGAGCATTATTTTGGAGCATTATCTTAAATAACATCATCCCACATCCCAGGCCTTGCTCTGAGCTATTTGTGTGCCTCTGGGGCACCCAGAAGTCATTCCCCTCATCTAGTGATGCCAGTCCTTTGTGGCCCTTAACCAGAGCCACTGCGCTGGTCCAGTGCCGGAGAGGACAACCAAAATCTGCTCACATTTCCACATAGGATTTTATCATTATTATTATTTTTTGTGGGATTTCTGCATGAGACATGCCCTAGATGTGCAGGAGGAAAACTCAAAAGGCACAGAAAAAGTACCTTGTCAGAGCCCGCTCCTCCTGCCATTTATCTTCTAGTCCTTAAGACATATTAAAATAGATTTAAAAGGATGCTCTAAGTTTTTGCTCTTTAAGGAACACATTAGTGCTACATAGGCTTTTGTTTTAATTAAAATAG